TTTGTGTATAAACAATGCATTTTTTGATCCAAATCAAGGATGTTGCCTTGCAGGAGGTAGTTTGTGACAGGTGCATGTCATTTTGTAGTGGAGCCTGCAAAGCCTTGTAATCAAGCCTATCAATGAATTACACAGAAAATGCAGGTGAGATCAGGTGAGGTGGTTTGAAGTATTGCTGATGTTACCTTGAAACACCTCCAAGTACCTCCAATCTTTTTGTTGCACCGGCAATTGCTCAGGAAGCAGATGCAGACATGAGCATGACGGACATGGAGCCACCAGAGAACAAGACCCCTGCAGAAGCTGACACTTGTCCCGGAGAGCAGGGTTGGATGTAGAGAAGTATCACATTTTGTAGCGTCAGTGGGTGGGCTGTTCATTTTGTAGGGTTTCAGATTTGAAAGAGCGCAATCTTTTGATTTGCCATGTGTTGATTGAATGCTGATACGAGCCTGTAGAAGTTTAATTATGGGCGCAATCCGTGTGAAATGCTCTGGTCATTTGCTAACCGATTTGTTTTGGAATCTTTGGTTATAGACTAATTGATTATTCTCACATAAGATCTCTTGATATCTTGTGATGTCTTGCAAGATTTTTACACATCATGTTTTCTGCTTGGTTCTTCTCTCGGGGGGGCCTGCCCAACCGCCCTTAGGCCCACAGCGAGCACAAGATCCTGGAGAAGCCTGATGGCGATGGAACCAAACCTGGTGAAGTTGCTTGGCCCATAGTGTTTCACCCATGGCCCACCCTCGATCACCCTGGGATGAAAGTGAGGTGCTTTCAAACAGGTCAATCTCTTACTACTTTGTGTATGAACAATGCATTTTTTGATCCAAATCAAGGATGTTGCCTTGTGGGAGGTAGTTTGTGACAGGTGCATGTCATTTTGTAGTGGAGCCTGCAAAGCCTTGTAGTCAAACCTATCAATGAATTACACAGAAAATGCAGGTGGGATCAGGTGAGGTGGTTTGAAGTATTGCTGATGTTACCTTCAAACACCTCCAAGCACTTCCAATCTTTTTGTTGCACCGGGAATTGCTCAGGAAGCAGATGCAGGAATGAGCATGACGGACATGGAGCCAGCAGAGAACAAGACCCCTGCAGAAGCTGACACTTGTCCCGGAGAGCAGGGTTGGATGTAGAGAAGTATCACATTTTGTAGCATCAGTGGGTGGGCTGTTCATTTTGTAGGGTTTCAGATTTGAAAGAGTGCAATCTTTTGATTTGCCATGTGTTGATTGAATGCTGGTACGAGCCTGTAGAAGTTATTTATGGACGCAATCTGTGTGAAATGCTCTGGTCATTTGCTCAACGATTTGTCTTGGAATCTTTGGTTATAAATTATTCTCACATAAGATCTCTTGATATCTTGTGATGTCTTGAAAGATTTTTACACATCATGTTTTCTGCTTGGTTCTTCTCTCAGGGGGGGGCCTGCCCAACCGCCCTGAGGCCCACAGCGAGCACAAGATCCTGGAGAAGCCTGACGGCGATGGAACCAAACCTGGTGAAGTTGCTTGGCCCATAGTGTGTCACCCATTGCCCACCTTCGATCACCCTGGGATGAAAGTGAGGTGCTTTCAAACAGGTCAATCTCTTACTACTTTGTGTATAAACAATGCATTTTTTGATCCAAATCAAGGATGTTGCCTTGCAGGAGGTAGTTTGTGACAGGTGCATGTCATTTTGTAGTGGAGCCTGCAAAGCCTTGTAATCAAGCCTATCAATGAATTACACAGAAAATGCAGGTGAGATCAGGTGAGGTGGTTTGAAGTATTGTTGATGTTACCTTCAAACACCTCCAAGTACCTCCAATCTTTTTGTTGCACCGGCAATTGCTCAGGAAGCAGATGCAGACATGAGCATGACGGACATGGAGCCACCAGAGAACAAGACCCCTGCAGAAGCTGACACTTGTCCCGGAGAGCAGGGTTGGATGTAGAGAAGTATCACATTTTGTAGCGTCAGTGGGTGGGCTGTTCATTTTGTAGGGTCTCAGATTTGAAAGAGTGCAATCTTTTCATTTGCCATGTGTTGATTGAATCTTTTTGAAACGAGCCTGTAGAAGTCTAATTATGGACGCAATCTGTGTGAAATGCTCTGGACATTTGCTGAACGATTTGTTTTGGAGGCTTTGGTTATAGATCATTCTCACATAAGATCTCTTGATATCTGGTGATGTCTTCAAAGATTTCTACACATTTATGCATATTTTTCTGCTTGGTTCTTCTCGCGGGGGGGGCCTGCCCAACTGCCCTTAGGCCAAACCTGGCGAAGTTGATCGAGAACCACGTCGCAAAACAGAGGAGGTGCTGGAGCAGATTGGCAAGAGGCTTCGATCATCTGCAGCAGCTGATTTGGAGGTGAAACAGGAGCCAGAAGAATTTGCCGGAAAGCAAAGGTTTCCAGATCCAGCCCTGGCAAAATGCATAGTGCCTTGGCCACTCTGATTGCATGGCAAGAATGCCCTTCATAGATACTCAATCCATCTTAGGGGATGGTAGAGACAGGGTTGGATTACCAATATCAAAGGCTGCTTCCAAACAGGTCAATCTCTGACTGCTTTGTGTGCAAAGAATGCATTTTTTTATCCAAATCAAGGATGTTGCCTTGTGGGAGGTAGTTTACGACAGGTGCATGCCATTTTGTAGGCATTGGTTGTGTAAGGATGCTGCAAAAAGGTAGGCAGCTTTGTGGCCCATGATGGTTGCTCTGGGTTTTGTAGCCTAAATCAGCATGCCTTTGAATTTTGTAGCCTTGGATGGTTAGAATTGCCAAGATTGACCAAGATTATCTTCAACTGTTTTGTTTCATTCTGTTTCAACATCGCTGTGCGTCCTGCAGGTCAGATATGCGCAGCATCTACGCAAACCTTCTGTGTACCTCGGACTTGCCGACCTTGCAATGTACTCGATAGCCCGGAACAAGCACATAGTTATCCTTTTCTATGACAATGAAACCGAGGGCAACCCTGTGTACCGTTCCTTGCTGCAAGCTTTGAATGACCTTCTGGATGCTGTTCCTGGTGCTCCTAAGTTCACATTTCCAGAGGAAGCCGATCCCTTGTCACCTGGTGCTTGGATCATAGCTGCTTGTAGATGTGATTTTGTCAAAGCACCATTCCCGAATCTCAACCACTACCTCCCTGTTTATCCACGGTTGCAGCTGGGTGACGACTGGGAGCCAGCAGTTGCTCAGGTCCAGGAGCGGACTTTGTGCTGTGTGTTGTTTACAGCTATGTCATTCTGTAGGGATTTACCATACGATGTTCATTTTGTAGCCTCCATTCATATCCATTCTTTAGTCTAGATATCTAGGTAGGTGATGATGGAATGTGATGCTGATGGTGGCTGATAGCCAGTAGGTGACCTTTGTTTTCCATGGAAAGAAATGAAGACGTTAAAACATGTCTGGGGGACCCCATGAGTGCAATGCCATGCCGTCATTCAGGAGAAACTTCAGAAACGGATTGCCAGCTGCCAGAGCAGGCTTCGAGCTCTTGCGGATGAGGAGTCTGACAATGAGTGGCAGGAATCTCTTGCTCAACATTTGCAACTTTGGGAGAGGAAGAAGGTCTTCTATGATCTTTTGATTAGCATGGACTTGCTTCCAAGTGAAGTTCCAGCAGATGGTTCCTGTGCTCTTTGGTCCTTGTCTGCCATGATGGCTGGATGCGCGATACGAACAGCTCTGACAACCCCTGACAAGATCGAAGGGATGCGCCAGGACAGGGCCTTCAAACCCAGAAATACCTTTGTTAAATGATTTTCGCATATTTTTGCATATCATTGACATGAAGGACTTTTTAAATAGGTGTTAGACTGATGCATCAACTTTCTGTAGAAGAGCATAGAATAGCATATGGCTGCATACATTGGTGCCATTCTTCCAGGAGGTCGCAGCACTGTGGGAGTCGTGCTGTGACAATCCCCTTTGGCAAGCTGTGTTTTGGGCAACAGACTTAGTCAATGAGATTCCTGCCGATCCTGCTGGGCAGCCCTTCAGCGGAGCAGGTCAAGCTGAACCTGTTGGCGCTGAGCTACCTCCACCAGAGAGAACACCTGAGAAGAAGAAGAAGAAGAACAAGAAGGCGAGTCCGAAATCACTGACGCCTGAGAAACCAAAATCTGCTCGACGAAGGAGGGTGCCACATGTGGACAATGCCACACCAGCTGACTTTGGCCAACCTCGCAAGATTGATCCGACCTTGCAAGCTGCGAGGAAGAAGAGGACAGTGTCGCAAGCATTTTCCATGCCAATCCAAGAGGTGAAGAAAGTTTCTGCCCACCCCGATGATACGTTGGCATTGGAAGATTCTGGATCAGAGGACTGATGGATCAGAAACAGCACATACACATCACATCACCCATGAACTCATGAACAAAATAATTCATTTTAACTTCCAGCGACCTTTTGGAACTGTACAAAAAACAAGGTGTTAAATATATCAATGCGGGGAGGCATAGCTTTGCAGCAGGAATTCTGCTTGAGTCCCTTGCAGGAGGAAAGGCAATTTGGCATATCTCGCGAGGCCCACAAACGTAGCTGCTTCAAGAAGACCATCAGCCAGAGCGAGCGCCAGTCCCAGGCTATCAAGATGTACCTCATGGACATTGGCATCACTTGGCCGGCCTTCCAAAAAATGCACACGAGGTTGGATGTTCAAAGAAGAAAGGCGGTTTCAAACAGGTCAATCTCTTACTACTTTGTGTATAAACAATGCATTTTTTGATCCAAATCAAGGATTTTGCCTTGTGGGAGGTAGTTTCTGACAGGTGCATGTCATTTTGTAGGGTTAAAGGATGCTGTAATGTTAATTGGTAGGTATGTTAGTTGCCCATAGTGACCCATGATCATTGTGAATGGCCTTTTGTAGCTGCAATTAAGCCCTGTGCTTTTTGTAGACTTAGATATATAGTAGGTAGAATCACCAACATGGACCAAGATACTTATTTTATCTTATTTTCTCTTTGCCATGAGCAGACAGGTTTGCTCCGATGAAGAAGTTGAACCGCTGCACAGATGATGGATTTCAATCTGTTCAGAACAAGCTGTTGCAGGGCAAGGAGATCAAGTGTGAAGCATGTCTGGAACTCTTGAGAACACGCAAATTCTGTGCAGATAGTCTACAAGAACAAATTGATGCTGTCATGAGCGGAGAGGTGAACCCAAAGGAGCGTTTTCAGAGAGATGCCGAATCTGGACATCAAGATCCTGAACTTCACTGCATCCCGAAAAAGAAGAAGGCCAAGAAAGACATTGAGAATGTCGATGACGAACAGGATCTTAACAATGGCCCTGAAGCCTGCATAGCCTTCCTCAAAGAGTACGAGGGGGTGATCGAGCTGCTTCCTCCAGGCACTGCTGGCAAGAAAGTTCCTTACCGGTGCTTAGTTTGCAAGTCCAGGGCACAACCACTGGGCAGAATCGGAGAACTCACGCAGATGAGGATGTGCTATGTCAAACACTTCATCACGCAGCACACTGAAAAGTGCAAGGCGCATCTTCGAAACCTGAGAACCTTGAAGGAGATGGAGCAGATGAGGCCTCGCGTGGCATGTGAAGCACTTTGCGTGAGCGATGCAGACACAGCTGGCAAGCTGTACTGTCACAGGGATATTTTCGACTTGTGGGCCAGCATCTGCAACTTTCAAGGTTGTGCCAAGCACACATACTGGTGTGAGTCCAACAGTGGCGACTGGTTCATACGCTCCATTGACTGTGAGAAGGAGACGGATCAAGTACCAGGGGAACGCAGTGTGTGTTCTGCATGCAAGAAGCTGGGAGAGCCATCTTCTGCCCCTCGGATCATTGTTTTTTGAGCATGCTTTGGGTTATGTTCCGACCCCTGCATTCCATTTTGTAGACATGAAATTCCACAGGTAGCCAAAGATTATGTAGTGTGATGATGGGTTGATGATGGAAAAGCATGACATTTTGTAGCTCTATGTAGCTCTAAAGAATATGCTTTGCTTTTTGTAGTTCCATCTCTTAAAGCCTAGGTGGTACGATCCCCTCTTCGGTTCGCAGTCAAATTCTTCATATCCCACCTCCTGAACGCAAAGATGTTTGGAGGAGAGGCCAGGGTCAAGGAGATCACTGAGGATATCAAGGCCTCTTCAGTTTACCAGAGGGATTCAAAGCTCAAGTCTTTGATGGGCCTGGAAACGCACCTTATGCAACAATGGGTGCGAGCATCATGCCAGAATGATGGAATGGGAAACAAGCGCTACAAGCAGTTTTTCAACAGCATTGTGAAGCCAACGCTCAACATCAGTGTCAGCAGCATCCCTCAGAACTTGGAAGACATTGTTGGGCGACTGACAGCCATAATCAAAGGACAGGAAGCAAGTGAAGAGGACCAGGTCCGGCTGAAGGTCGCTTGCTCGGCCATCCATGGACACTTGGAATCGAATCCATTGATCACTGGATTGGCATTGGCATGCACCAGGATGAGCGAGAAGCAATCGCGCAACATTTTCACCTTGGCTGGAAGGAAGGACAACACCTGCACTGAAAGAGAGCGATCCCTCCTTGCAGATGCCGGAATGCAACTTGCAATGGCAAGTTGCAACACAGGCCTGGCACGAGAATGCGGGTTGTCATCTACAGCTTTGAAGCTGTCCTTGGACGAACTTCATCTCAACTCTCTACCTACACCAGCTCTCGCGGTGAGATGGCCAGAGATCCTCCAAGAGAACTTTCAGCTGCTTGATCAGAGGTTCCTTCGACCAGAAGAAGCACCAAATCGTCACTTGCAGTAATTTTGGCACATGCTACATGCTTTTTCAATCGGCTGTGCTTTCAAACGGCTCAATCTCTTACTACTTTGTGTGCAAAGAATGCATTTTTAAATCCAAATCAAGGATGTTGCCTTGTGGGAGGTGGTTCACGACATATGCACACCATTTTGTAGGAAAAGCCACCCCCAAAGATGAATTGAATTGAAGAATAGTTTCAGGGATTTCCCATTTGGTGGCTCATGATTGCTGCCCATGATGTTTTGTAGTTTTGAAGCAAATGCAGTGCTTTCTGTAGCATGCCAAGGCCGATTGTGTGCAGCATTTGATGCAACCTACATAACAACCACTTTGGCCCAACTTGCCCTGCACAAGGAGAAGGGAATGGTGGGTGGAGTCTGGAATGTGGGGGAGACAGATCAAAGCTTCTTGGACTTGGCGCAAGACATCAAGGTGGACCGCGTCAACAAAGCTTCAAGCATTTTGGAAGTAGTTCTGTGGGATCCAGCTGCAGTTCGACGAGTTCAATTGCCTGTGGCAACAACCCCAATTGAAACGAACTTCAGTGGCCCTGGAAGCACAATGCGTGGTTGCTGGTTCATGTTGGAGCTGATGGGGATGATCTTGAAGGAAGGGGCCGACATCATTCGTTGCATCACTTTCGATGCCCATGGATCACACAGCATGATCCGAAAGATCTTGCATGGCCAAAACGATGGCTCCTACGACGATGCACTTCGACTCCCCTTCTGGAGGGATTTGGAATGGGTACACCTTCCTTCATCATGCCTGCCTCGGTGCCCCATCAAAATCTGCATGCACAACAACGAAGCCATCTACGGCATCCCTGGGGTTTGATCCTCTCCTGAATTCAGAATGTTATTTTGGACGAATTCCTTTTAGTAGTTTCTTTTTCAGGCCATGCTTTTTGTAGCAACTCAGAATCACTAACTCTGATAACTTGAGCTATGTATGCTGAGGTCATGCCAGTAAAAACACCGGAAGTGCCCTGACGTCATGGATCCGGACCTGTTTTTACGGAGACTACTGGGCCGACTGCACTATGAGCCGTCAATATGGCTTACCACCTGGAGTGATGGGGAGGGAGTGCCCCCAGTCAGACAAGGCACAGGCAATCCTGATGAACCCATTCTTTTTGGTCAGCTCGGTGGTTGCTTGGCATCTTTGGAAAAGATGTTCTTTGATGTTTGTTCAAGTCGAGTTTGAAGTTGGTTTATGTTGGATGATTTTTTGGGGCACCATGAAATACAAGGATCTTTTTGTGGAAAAAAAGGATGGTGTTCCCACAAACTCAAGAATAATGTTTCGAGATGTTTCGAATTGGAGAGACAGTCAGTGCTTTTTGTAGTGTTTCATTGCGCATAGTATTTTGTAGTTGCTTTCTATCTCTTGCTGTCCCAGGATTGTGCACTCAGAGACATGCAGACTCCATGGGCCCTGAGGGGCTGTCTCTTACACAATCTCTGCGTGCCTTGTCCTGGCCTGTGACAATGATGAGCTCACAACAATTTTTTCTTTACATATAAATGCAAATATATGTATATATATATATATGTATGTATATATGTATATATGTATATATATATGATATATATATATATACATACACATACATATACATACTGTATATATACATTATCTATACATAGATACATACATAGCGCCATGTACACCTATTTGCAATTTACATCCTTTTATTTACATCCTTTTACATCAGTATGGTCTCTACCACTATTTCATATCTTTCAGCATGGCCAAAGATTTGTTTTTGGATCGTTGTGGGGAAACTTCTGTGCACTTCATGAGGTCGCTTTGTGCCAGGGGGCTCTCTTGCATCGAAACCTCTCGCTTCAATCTCGCTGCGAATGCGGGTTGGCAGGCTTCTTGCTCCTTGATTTGTACAAGATGTTGTCAAATCAGAGGTCTTCACGGCTGGGTCAACCACGTGGATCCATGTTCATGTCTCCACAAACGATGTATAACATCCAGGGCGTATCCCTCATTGCCTCAGTCATATGTGTGAGCAAGGACCCCAATTTCCATCCGTGGAAAGTGGGGTCCTGCCGCCTGAGCGAATTACCAATCGAAGAGTGGTTCTCTCTGTTGAGGAGACAGAGTGCGAATGCACAGTTGAACTGTCGTGCATTTTTCCAGGCGTCTTGCCGCAGTTCATTGAAACATGGAAGACAGCTCAATTCCATCAAGCCGGTGAAGCGTTCCCCAGAACCACCCTTGACCGAAGAAGTGTCACTTGGCAACCTTGAGGTAATGTGTTTTTTGGTTCTTCCTGCAAGTGAAACGATTTCAGTATCCACCTGCAACCCTGGAGGTCCAAGGCTATTTTCCTGATTGACTGGGCTCCTCTTTTTGTAACGCACAGGTTTGTGCTCTTCATTTTGTAGTACCCTGAGGTTCCAGAAGTGCTGTGAACGTGCATTCAAGGGTGCTTTGAAGCTGGTCTCTTTTACTTCAAGCAAGAGCGAAGAGGCGATTGAGGCCTCCTACCGCAAGCTGTGCAGGGAGAAGACGGATGAAGATGGAGACTTGCATTGGGAGGATGACATGGCAGAAGATGATCCAGACGAGTTCTTGGAACATGGTTTGGCAGAGGGAGATGAGCAAGGAAATGCTGCCTTTGACCTTCTGACTTCGATTCAGCAGACCGCCTTCGTGGACCCTGAGAACGACCCAGCTACTGCAGAAGCATGTTCAGCCAAGGACCCAGAGATTGAGAAAATGGCAGATTCACACCAGATTGCATTTTTGTTGGAGGAACCATCTGATGCAGCGGTTGCTGAAAGTGTCCAGGAAGGAGACCACTTGCCCAGTTCCCTCCTTGAAGCAATGGAGGATTCCGGGGACAAATGGAACTCACTGTTTCGTCTTCTTGTGAAGATGAGGTCCGCCCCTGGCGGAGTGGACACCAGGTTCATTGCCAACGGTCGTCACATGCGCAAAGCCAGTGGCACACTCAACTGGCACCAGCCGCCCAGATGAAATTACTGTGCGCATGACATTTTGTAGGCTTATATGGGGAAGTCTTCTCATTTTATTGGAATGAAAGGGTGTTGAGGATGATGCATGCTTTCAGATTCTGAATATCATCTCTCAATGTTGCAAAGCACGTTCAGATTTTTCAGGCGTTCTTGAAAAAATATGTTCCCACGGACCTTCTGGATGTTGATAGATGCTTAGACTTTTCTGGTCAGGTACAATGAAGCTCGCATCGCGGAGCTTAACCGAGAGCGCGAGAGTGCCGAGTTTCGCGCTCGGACCACGAGAATGGCAAAGTGGAGGGAGTTGGCAGAACAAGCAGCACAGGATCTTCAAATCGAAGTCGGAGTACCAGAGAAGATCCGGTTTCTCAGATATTTTTTGAGCAAAAGCATTTTGTAGCTAGCCAGGCTGGCAACTGCATTTTGTAGTGAACCTGTGCCTTTTTCAAATGCCAGAGTTTTCTACCAAAAATCCAGCGATTAAAACCTGAGGCCTGGCAACATCGTTCTTTTCCACCTGCCAAATGGTGTCCCGCAGCAGGGGGTGGAACTGGGATTTGTCACCTCGGTATGGCGGGGCGTTAAAAGCCCGAAGCTGTTTTCAGGTGAATCTTCCATCAGCAGCTGCATGGCCTTCCGGGTTATTGCATTGGACATGGACCCAGATGCAGTAGAATCTCTTCTCCATTATCAACTGGGTAGATTTTACCTTCTTTCCCAGAAAAATGGCACTGGGGCCCTGATAATCACATTCTATTTTTGATACCCTTCCGATTCAATGATCATGGGAAAGATTTACATGCCGGCTACTGCAGCTGCCCAGGAATCTGGCGAACAGATCAGAGACTGGTTCTGCTCAGCCAAATCGGATTGCTGGGTGTGCCGAATGGAAGCCTTGGTCTGCATCCTTGACATCGAATCTTGCACCTTGGCAAGGTATTGAAGCAGACCATTTTGTAGTCTGAATTTATTGCACACCCTGGGTCAAGAAATGGTCACATTTGGTCATCCATTTTGTAGTCTGTAAGTCTGTGCTTTTTTTTTGGTAGTTCAAAGCTTGGGTTCAGCCAGGCCACATGCCGAGTGATGGTGATGGAGAGGTTCTCATTACTTTGACTGAGACCAGCGCAGAAATTTTGGCAAAGATCCCTGAGCTCAAGACTTGGTCAGTTGCCCCGACGATGACGAGAGGGTCCAAGGGAAAGGGCATCAAGAGGGCAAAGCTGGTGAAGGTCCAGGCCAAGGGCGGCCAATCACTGGTGGAGAAGAAAAAGCAGGACACTGTGAAGAAGAAGGACAAGGCAGAAAAGAAGGAGAAAAAGGAGAAGAAGAAAAAAATCACGGTGAATACGGATGAGCTCACAGATGCTGATTTCCGACGAACTCCACAAGGACGCCAGAACATTGAGAATGTGATGAAAGAACTCTACAGTTTGGATCAGAAAGCTTTCCCTACGGGACCAGCTTTCACACCAGAAGGTCATTGCAGGATGAAGTTTGAGGGTGCATCAAAGTTCACATGGGACGAGATGCTCAAAGCTTCGGGCAGAGCGATGGAGAGCCTGTGGTTTGGCTTGTTCATCGTTCATTTTTGATTTTTGGATTTGTTTGGGTCCATGCCTTTCCCTCAAAAGCCAAGATTGAGGATAGATAAGCAACACATTCTGTAAAGACTATCCTGGCCCAGTCATTTTGTAGCCCTAGGAGCCTGTAGGATGTTAGGTATGGTCTCCAGTTTGGTATTTTAGTGTCTCCTGGATAGATAAGCAACGCATTTTGTAGAGACTATCCTGGCCCATGTCATTTTGTAGCCCTAGGAGCCTGTAGGTTTTTAGGTATGGTCTCCAGTTTGGTATTTTAGTGTCTCCTTGCCCGTGCTTGCTTCCAGGTACAGAAATCCTCGGGCTGCAGATGCATACGGAAAGGCTGTTTTCAAGCACCTGATGACCATCAAGTCCAAGCTTGAGAGTGATCCGCCACATCGGCAGGGCTGGCTCAGATTGCTGAAGGATGTGTGTGACTATGTGTCGTGTATCACATCAACCACCAAGACTGATTCGAAGCCAGATGAGCCAGCAGGGAGTACTGAGTGAGATGACAGGCAATAGGGATTTTCCGATGCCAGCGCACCATTTTGTAGGGACAGCTTTGGTTCTGATCATTTTGTAGCTTAATACATATCTATATGATTCAAAACAATATCTGGTTCATGTCAAGCACATCTGCTTGAAACAAGTTATGTCATGTTATATCTTCTTATTTTGATTGAATGGCTGGCCGATTAGACAGGAGTTTTGCTTGCCATAGCCTGGTGACCGTGTGTCTATAGCAAGGGCTGTGTCGTACAAGTCAAGACTTGGGGTTGGCATTCCTAATTCGAAAGCGGTATTTACGGTAGGAAGCCTGGGAGGTCAGCTGGCAATTGCTGTCCTGTGAGACTTTTCTAGCAGCTGAGCAGATGATTGTTGTTCCAGCTAACCATCACCCAGGGCATTTTGTAGGAAACACATGTAACTGTCAAACTGCAGGGACATTTGGTGATTTATACAGATAGATAGGTTGATAGAGGATATTTAGATAGACAGATAGATAGACCAACAGAATTTTCTATGGTCATATTATTCTCTGGCAGGTTTGGCAGGCGCAAGTCGAACTGCTTTTGAGTGCTGCATGAAGGTAGCGGCACTCGTTTGAACTGAATGGCAGAAAGTCAGAAAGCTTATAGAAAGCTTTGGGGAGACCAGAGACGAAAGATGACGAAAGCATCAGAACTGAAAAATACGAGTCAAACTAAGGCATTGCATTTTGTAGGAAGGCCAGTTGGCAAAGGATGGCAGAGGCAAATTGAGGCATGCATTGCATTTTAAGTGAACAGTATTCAAACAGTGCATTTTATAGTAACGACCAGCTGGGTGAATTTCATTGGATATAGTTTGCAGATGCTGACTGCTGTTTTGTATGTGCACCAGCGTGCAGTCTGGTTGGCATTGTGCACCTTCTCTTCTCTTCAGGTCTTTTATGTCTCAACTCAGGGGGTCTTAGTAGTAGAAGCTTTCCTCATGCTGGAGTCTTTAGACTTCATCCATGTCCTGGCGGCCGTCTTTCTTCTTGGAATGATGGTGGGTGCATTGGCGACAATGCTCATGATCAAGTGTGGCCTATGCGGGTTTGGCCAAAAACGTTCTGCCCTACCAGGACCATGGCATGTTCAGAAGATCCAGAAGATACTGCCTGAGGAGATCTACATCTGTCGCTCCAGCCGTTGCTTTCATGTGAGTCAGACATGTCAGAAGAATGTACAGACGTTTCCTATTTGTCAGCACTGTCTGAAACATGAGATGAAAAAAAACCGCTGATCTGGAGAAAAAACTCCATCAACCAACGGCCGAGAGCTATAAAATGAGGGCGTGCACATCTGGTTATGAATGTTGAGCCCCAAAAAACACCACTACAAAATGCATTTCTGCCTCTGAAGAGCTCAAAAGTGGGGCTGCTACAAAATGCATTTTCTTTGCCACATGAAAACAGAAGTAGCCATTGCATTTTGTAGGGGACGGTTTTGGGCTGTGAAGAAGGTTTTGTAGCTTGAAAGTGGGCGCATAGAGAATCATAGCTACAGAACGGTTGCACAGGTCCTCCCGGGTAATTTCAACCCGGATGTTTGGATTCCATATCGTAGGGATCCTTCATGATGTGGACGCTCTAGGAGTTAGCAGTTGTCATTGATGTGCATTGTAGACAATGTGAGGCCAAGATTTAAGAAATTTGAGTTTAGTAATGGGAGGTACCCAGTGCAAGAGGAATCTATAGATCAGATTTTTTGGGGGGGACACCCCTTCAGTAATGAAGGAAGTGTACTCAGGAATCCCACAATGATTGCTTCTTGATACTTTTCACGTACCGTGAAACGATGAAAATCGAGGTGCGGCGCTTTTCATCAGCGGGACCCTTGTCTCGGCGCTGCGAGCACGCCCCAGATTGGCGACCCTTGGCGTCGATGTAAACGCTGAACTGTGGCGTGGTATATATCTTATGTGAAGAGAAGTGTGCCAGATGGGAAGAATTGGGCCATGTCCTGGGATGGGAGTTTCTGAAATCTGAAAGCATGGGATATCCACTGGATTGTTCAAGTTTCTCGGTGAGATTGTTATGGCAGATATTTCGGGTGTGTCATGGCACTCTGGTGTTCGCACAAAAATCAGTGCGCGCGGAGGACAGCCAGAAGAAAAAGACATATGGTGAGCCAGTTGAGTTTCGGATTCCTGGCATATGTTCCAAGGGATTGAAACTGATGGGATGTGATTGGGTGGCTTGGAGGTGAGATTCGGGTCTTAGATCGAATGATTTTGTCTGCGAGGGGGTTACTTTCTGAACTGACTATAGAAACTAGCTCCAAACCTTGACTTTACCTGCGTTTCGGCACAGAAACTCTGCCGGACGCACATGCCGCCGGGAAAGCTGGAATGTGACGGCAACGCTGGACTAATAACACTGCTAGTTTCCAACTTGCTTGCGTCCTTGTGCCGCTCGCTTTCGTCTTGTCCAGCCAGCCGTCTAGACAGTGCCAAGCGTCACTGTCTGAACCTGCAAGCTTGACCTGCCTTTCTGCACTGCATGCCAACTGCCAACTTGCTCATGTCCTCCTGGAGCTGGCTATCGTTCTGCCCAGCTTCCAAGACGTCAATTTCTGAACCAACTAGAAACTATAGCTCCAAACCTTGACTTTGCCCACGTTTCTGCACTGCCAACTGCCACCCTGCTCGTGTCCTGCTGGAGCTGGCTTTCGTTCTGCACAGCTCCGGTCCAGGCCGGGGTCCAAGGACCCTGTCGCAGGGCTAAAACACCATGGCAGTGAAGGACGGATTGGGCCCGCGGCCCGTAGCCCAGACTGCCAAACGTTACTTTCTGAACTGAATAGAAACTAGCTCCAAACCTTGACTTTACCTGCGTTTCTGCACTGCCAACTGCCACCCTGCTCGTGTCCTCCTGGAGCTGGCTTTCGTTCTGCACAGCTCCGGTCCAGGCCGGGGTCCAAGGACCCTGTCGCAGGGCTAAAACACCATGGCAGTGAAGGACGGATTGGGCCCGCGGCCCGTAGCCCAGACTGCCAAACGTTATTTTCTGAACCGACTATAGAAACTAGCTCCAAACCTTGACTCTACCTGCGTTCTGCACTGAGTTCCAAACCTTGACTTTCGTGCGCAGCTCCGGTCCACGCTGGGGTCCAAGGACCCTGTCGCAGGGCTAAAACACCATGGCAGTGAAGGACGGATTGAGCCCGCGGCCCGTAGCCCAGACTGCCAAACGTTACTTTCTGAACCAATTGAAACTATATAGCTTCAAACCTTGACTTTACCTGCGTTTCTGCACTGCCAACTGCCACCCTGCTCGTGTCCTCCTGGAGCTGGCTTTCGTTCTGCACAGCTCCGGTCCAAGCTGGAGTCCAAGGACCGCGTCGCAGGGCTAAAACACCATGGCAGTGAAGGACGGATTGAGCCCGCGGCCCGTAGCCCAGACTGCCAAACGTTACTTTCTGAACCAATTGAAACTATAGCTTCAAACCTTGACTTTACCTGCGTTTCTGCACTGCCAACTGCCACCCTGCTCGTGTCCTCCTGGAGCTGGCTTAAGGACGGATTGGGCCCGCGGCCCGCAGCCCAGACTGCCAAACGTTACTTTCTGAACCGATTAGAAACTAGCTCCAAACCTTGACTTGACTTGCGTTCTGCACTGAGTTCCAAACCTTGACTTTCGTGCACAGCTCCGGTCCACGCTGGGGTCCAAGGACCCTGTCGCAGGGCTAAAGCCACATGGCAGTGAAGGACGGATTGAGCCCGCGGCCCGTAGCCCAGACTGCCAAACGTTACTTTCTGAACCGACTTGAAACTAGCTCCAAGACTTGACTTGCGTTCTGCACTGAGGTCCAAACCTTGACTTTCGTGCACAGCTCCGGTCCACGCTGGGGTCCAAGGACCCTGTCGCAGGGCTAAAACTGCATGGCAGTGAAGGACGGATTGAGCCCGCAGCCCGTAGCCCAGACTGCCAAACGTTACTTTCTGACCCGACTTGAAACTAGCTCCAAACCTTGACTTTGCCTACGTTTCTGCACTGCCAACTGCCACCCTGCTCGTGTCCTCCTGGAGCTGGCTTTCGTTCTGCACAGCTCCGGTCCAAGCTGGAGTCCAAGGACCGTGTCGTAGGGCTAAAACACCATGGCAGTGAAGGGCGGATTGGGCCCGCGGCCCGTAGCCCAGACTGCCAAACGTTACTTTCTGAAGCGACTAGAAACTAGCTCCAAACCTTGACTTTACCTGCGTTTCTGCACTGCCAACTGCCACCCTGCTCGTGTCCTCCTGGAGCTGGCTTTCGTTCTGCACAGCTCCGGTCCAGGCCGGGGTCCAAGCACCCTGTCGCAGGGCTAAAACACCATGGCAGTGAAAGACGGATTGGGCCCGCGGCCCGTAGCCCCAAGGACCGTGTCGCAGGGCTAAAACACCATGGCAGTGAAGGACGGATTGGGCCCGCGGCCCGTAGCTCAGACTGCCAAACTTTACTTTCTGAACCGACTAGAAACTATAGCTCCAAACCTTGACTTTACCTGCGTTTCTGCACTGCCAACTGCCACCCTGCTCGTGTCCTCCTGGAGCTGGCTTTCGTTCTGCACAGCTCCGGTCCAGGCCGGGGTCCAAGGACCCTGTCGCAAGGCTAAAACACCATGGCAGTGAAGGACGGATTAGCCCAGACTGCCAAACTTTACTTTCTGAACCGACTTGAAACGATAGCTTCAAACCTTGACTTTGTTTGCCTACGTTTCTGCACTGCCAACTGCCACCCTGCTCGTGTCCTCCTGGAGCTGACTTTCGTTCTGCACAGCTCCGGTCCAAGCTGGAGTCCAAGGACCGTGTCGCAGGGCTAAAACACCATGGCAGTGAAGGACGGATTGGGCCCGCGGCCCGTAGCCCAGACTGCCAAACGTTACTTTCTGAACCGACTAGAAACTAGCTCCAAACCTTGACTTTATTGACTTTATAGAATAGAAACTAGCTCCAATTACTTTCTGAACCGAGTAGGAACTAGCTCCAAACCTTGACTT